GGTGTCGAATTTTGTCTCCAAAAATTTCCCGATGGCAAGCCCCGGGTTGCATATCATTATTCCTGATCTCCTTGATGCATCCTGAAACCAGTTTGAGTATATATGCTTCTTATACTGCTCATTTATAAGCAGTACATCAGCTCCTCTCTCCCTGGCAGTCTGCATCAGGAGATCCTGAGCAACGCGTCCTCTTCCGAGGTTGACCTGGAGGAACCTTAATTCCTTGCCCTTAGCTGTCTGAGCACCTCCTTATAAATTGGGCAGGACCCAGTTCCTGGATTGTGATTGATCTCCTTCTCTACTTTGTCCACACAAGTTAAACAAACAGGTTTGTTTTTACAATCCTTGTGGGAATGATCAGGAGAGCCACATTTCCAGCAAACCTTGCCTCGGTCCGGCTTCTGACAGGTTTTTGACTGATGCCCATAGCAAAGACACCTGAAGCATCTGTCCACCTCGATTCTAGGCCGGATCCTGCAATTAATCCAGCCGACCTTCACCCTGACCGTCTTCAGTAGCGCATCCGCGTATGCTTCCTGGAGTTGCACAATGGCAAGTTTTTCTCCACGGCTTAGGGGAATAAGTCGACAAGACATTTCCAAGTCGGTCCTGCCCAAAGTTTGTTGGACTGCCTGGGTTACCTCCTCAACACTCGTTGCCTCGTCTAGGTCTCTAATCTCTAGAGACCTTTTTGTCACAATATGTGAGACGTCCGCCTTATCCTTAAGGGCGTCAGCCACTTTTTTACTAAAAATAGAGACCTCTTGATTTCTTCGAAGTACGACAAGCATCTCTTGCTTTCTAGACCTCTTGATTGACAGAATTTCTGTCCCAGTGTCAGCTGGATTGACGGACGCCTTCATATGAGCAAGGATTTTTTCGTAAGACTCATTACATGTCACCCTTATTCTGATTGCCTCCGTATTTCTCTTTTTTATTTTAGAAGTCGAATTTGTCATCTTCTCTTTCTGTGTCTCCTTTTCATTTTTTTTTTTTTCTTCTTTTTGGAGACTTTTCTCCACTCTTTCTCGGCACTAACAGTCTGAGGCCCATTTGAGGAAGAACTTTTATCCTCCTTCAGGACTTCGTCAGACATTTTTTTTTTCGGCACTCTGTCCTCCGGAGACGACGAAGCTTCTCTTTTCTGAGCTTGTGCCGAAGAAGTCTGTCCCTTTGATTTGGGTTTTGGCGTCTCTGGATTGCGTTTTAGAGAATTTAACGCTCTTGCAGGACTAGCCATGCGGAAAACTCTAGGCGTCTCCAATGTTTTTTGGAGCTTATCAGCTGACGCCTGAAGAGTTAAGCCTGAGCTTCTTACGGTTCCGAAAACCTCCTTAGCGATGTTTACTCTAACCTTGAGTTCATTTGGGGTGTTCTTTATGTACGCCCCTTCAATCGCTAGGATGGCCTTCTCCAAAGCTTCAGTCTGCTTCTTTTGTTCCGCTACCACTTCCAGCAGCACTCTGCAAGGCGCTGCCCACGGGGGTGTGAAGGAACCTCTCCTTTGATGTGTAGCTCCTTTCTGTAACTGCACTTCGGCAGCAGGAGCTACAGCTATATGTTTATCTTCCTTTTTTGTGGAAGGAAACTCATACACCTCGGCTAAAACCTCAATTTCTTGAGGCGTCTCAACGCAGGTTTTAAGAGACACTATTTATCCGGTTCCAATTTTCTCTTCACCTTCTTCAATAATCTCAATTATGTCCATATTTTCTATTTTATTATTCTCCATGTAATCATTTTATCAGCGCATCGTCTGTGGAGGGGCGGGTCGGTATAGTTGGGAACGGGTGTATTCTCGGACGTATCCTACCCCAGTTCCCTGAGGCCCAACCACCGCTTAGCCGGTCCCGGAATACACGGACAGACCGGACTCGCCCGGAGCAATATGGATTCCGACCTCCATATTCACCACAGACTCTTCTGATCAGGGTCCCGAAGGGGCTGGCTCCTGATTCCTTACCTCGGCTGACACATCGGCAGAGCAAGCTCACATCAACCCCTAGGCCCCGCCCACCGAAAACAAGTGAACGAAGTTTCGGGGTACTCCCAGTGGGCCGAGGAAGGAAACAATCATATGGGTGAAATAAGTGTATTGTGAATATGTGTGAAAAAGATATTATTATTATTATTATTATTATTATTATTTTTTTTTTTTTGCTTAGGGACTTTTGGGAAATCTGCCTACAGATACCTTGGATTCCGCACTCCAAGGTTATGTGGGGTTGGTATGATAAAACAAAAGGAAATATAAAAAAAAGAAAAATAAATATATATATATTATAGTAAATTTAATAAACTGGCGACCTACTACCAGCCCGACCCACTAAAACCCGTAACCCTTCTTCTGGAGCCCTTCACCCTCCCTCAGAACTGTCGTATGACTTTAGCCATCGAGGGTGGCGCTCCAACTCTGTCGCTAATGCGACCTTCTTCTTCTCTCTTACGGTTTTCCTGCGTCCATAGTTAAAAATTTAAAACTATTTCAATATAAAAGCGGAATTAACAGCACAACAGTAATAAAAAAACAAATGTTTAATTAAGTGTAAACAGTCAAAAGATAAAATTGCTAACGGATATATAAAAAAAAGAAAAAAAACGCGTATATAATATTGAACACATAAAACAAATTAAAGAATGTAGAAGGACAAGTAAATCACAAAATAAATTAATAAAAAAAACAAACAAACAAATTAAAAGCTGTTTAAATTACGCTTTTTGGCGGCCGTCGAGATCCCTCCTCGACATAACCGAGATTATGAAGTTCTCGACTTGCGGCCAATTTTCCTCTGACTGGGTCATCAGCGATACCATGTTCTCCGGTGCAACTTGACTATTTACACCTTCGAACATGGCCTGCCTCTCCAAGTCCCATTTCTTGCATGAGAAGAGGGTGTGCTCCGCGTTGTCCTCAGGGAACTGGCAATATGCACACACCTCGTCCTCGCGTAATTTAAAGAGGCACAGGTACGAGTTAAAACACCCGTGACCTGTGAGCGCCTGAGTCAGATAATAGGAGACTTCTCCATGCTTTCGGTTTATCCAGGTGGTGAGTGTTGGAATCAGACGATAGGTCCATCTGCCCTTTTCCTCCCCATCCCATCTGTTCTGCCATGTCTTGATAAGTCTGTTTCTCGCGTATTTGCAGATGCGGTCCTTGCTAGGTCTTTCTTCCTCTGGGTATTCGGGATTATTTCTTCTTTTAAAAAGAAGAAATACTTCCTCCCTTTCCCTTGCCATAAGATCTGCCGGCGGGACACTTGCAAGGACTTGCACAGCACTCGTCGAGACCGTCTTATACGCAGAGACGATACGGGTAGTAACACATCTCTGCGTAGACAGCATATTATCGCAAATGGTTTGGCTTCTTGTTTTAAGTGAGGGAGCCCACGCTGCTGCTGCGTAAAACAGCTTAGCGTGGGCAACACTAACTACCAGTCTCCTTTTCCTTTTACGTGGTCCGCGAACGTTTGGCATAAGTCGTGCCAAGTCTGACGCACACTTTATCGCCTTATTCAAGGCCGTCGCTATATGGTAATGAAAGTTTAACCTTCCATCGAGCTCCACTCCTAAATACTTAATATGTTTACTCCACTTGACCTCGAATTCGTCTATCACGATTCGTGCGAAACTATAACCACGTCTGTCTGTGACGAGCAGAGCTTCGGTTTTTTCAAAGGCCATTTGAAGACCTCTGGCATCCAACCAGCTTTTAACTCGTCGCAGACATTCGTTCACCAATGTCCCAAGGGCTTCCTCGCTTTCGGCTGAGCACACGACCAACGCATCGTCCGCAAAGCCGATGATGACCGCGCCTTCAGGTAGGCCCATTCGCAGGAAGTTATCATAGGATACATTCCACACGAATGGTCCCACCCTCGAGCCTTGGGGGCACCACTTTGCATCTCTTCCTTCAGAGTCCAGTTGTCCCCCTCATATATTACCCACCTGTCGCTAAGATAATCATTCATTATCCGCAACAAGTAGGGCGGTATTCTCTTCTCCATCAAAGACTGGATGAGATCTTTCCATCGTGCGGAGTTAAACGCGTTACGTATGTCAATAGCCACCAATGCGCAGAAGCCCTTCTTCTTCTTTGGTCCCAATTTGTTTTTTCCCGCTTTGGCTATGTCCACAAGTGCCTGAATGGCATCAATCGTGGACCTGCCTTTGCGGAAACCAAATTGGTAATCGGATAGACTATTTTCTCCGGTCAAATGGGTTTGCATTCTCTGCAGAACCATATCCTCTAGAAGTTTACCCATCGTATCTAACAGGCAAATAGGCCTGTACGACGAGACTTTATCCAGAGGTTTTTCACCTCTTCTTAGGAGGACTAGCCTCTGCCGCTTCCAGTCGCGGAAGAACTCTCCTTTCTCAAGGCAAAGATTGAAACATCGGAGCAGAATCTGGGGTGAAGTGTCGATAACCAATTTTAGGATCTCGTTACTTATCCCATCGATTCCAGGCGCCTTGCCTGTTTTCAATCTTTTACCTGCATTTCTCAATTCTGTAAGGGTGAAGAGTTCCTCCTCACCGACTTCGCAGGTACTCTAGTCCTTCCTAACCCACTGTTCTGCAGGAGGAAATAGAGCTCTTATAATCCTTTTGACCCAATCGGGATTGTCCAGGCCGGGGGTCTTTTGCCTCGTTCCTAATTTCTTAGTAACGATTTTAAAAGCCAGACCCCATGGGTCCTTCTCGACATCATCAATTAGGTCTTTCCAGCAACGGCGTTGTGACGCTCGAATCTCTTTTTTCAGGCTTTTTTTGGCCTCCTTAAATACTTCCTTTAGCAAAGGATCTCCCTTAGAACGGGTATAATTCCTTCTAGCTTTGAAGCACGCTTTCCGCAAGGAGGCCAGTGCATCAGATCACCAGTGCACCGAGCTTTTCCGTGAAGGGGTTCGCTTACGACGCGGCATAGATGCGTCGCAAGCTGTGGTGATGACTTTCCTTACCGCTCGCACCTCGGCATCCAGGGTATTCGGCCTCTTCACCTATCCCGATTGCTTAATAAGGCGGGCTTCTTCTAGGAAACGGACAAATTTCTCCTTATCGATTTTCTTCACATTCCATGAGGGGCACTTTCGACACGGAACTTCCTGTCTTTTGCCTCCTCCTGTGTCTCCCACTGAGACCGAAAACTCGATATACTGATGGTCACTTGCGGTATACTCCTCAGAGACTTGCCAGTAGCTTATGCGTTTGAATAAGGGAGTTGATGCTATCGTAAGATCAATGATGGATGCGATTGCACCCCTCCTGAACGTCCAAGCTCCTCCCCGGTTCACAGTAATTAAACTGTTTCTGGAGACCATTTCTCCGATCACTTTGCCTCTTTTATCGAACCTTGACTCGCCCCACTCCGGCGACTTAGCATTAAAATCGCCAGTGACAAGTACATCCAACCTGGATTCTCTAAGGCTCGATTCGAGTTCTTCCATGTCGGCTTCGAAGTCCGTCAGTGGATCATTAGGCGAAAAGTAGCAGCTATACATTCGTATGTCTCCAACTTCCACCCAGACAAATCCACTGCTCGTCTCCAGGTATCTGTCAACCCTCAGTTCGGGATTGCACACCTGGACAGCTGCCCTACCCGACTTATCTTGATACCAGGAACCTAGGTCGATTTTTCTGTATTGCTCGCTGCAGAACAGAATGTCAATACCCTTTTCCCTGGCCGTCTGCGTCAGAAGGGCCTGTGCCTCTCTGCACATGTGCAGGTTGACCTGCAGAAGTTTTAAGGATTTGCCTTTTTAAGTCTCTGCAACTCTTCTCTGTAAACCGGACAAGAACCTTTTCCGGGGACATGAAGTACGTCTGTCTTAGCCAAGTCAGAGCACGTCAAACACTTAGGCTGTTTGACAGAGCAATTCTTTGCGATATGACCCTCACCGCCGCATCTCCGACAGCTTTTAGTTCTGTCGGGGCCCTTGCAATTTCGAGTCACGTGTCCGTAAACAAGACTTTTGGCATCTTGCTACCTCTAAATGCTTTCTGACTGCAGCATTTATCCATCCTACTTTTATTTTGCCCACTTTTAGCAGAGAATCGCTCTCCGCTTCAGTCAGGCGGACCAACGCCACTTTTGTGCCACTAAAACGTGGCAAAAGTCTGCACTCTATGTCCAGGTCAGGCTTTTCCAGCTTTGTCCTCACGGCAGAAACAACGTCTTCACTTGTCGCTGTTTCGTCAAGTCCTTTTATCTCGAGAGTTCTTTTATTCACAAGAGGCATAACCTCGGCTTCAGTTTTTAAAACTGAAGCAAGAGCTCCTGCAAATTTCAAGATCTCTCCTCCTTTTTTTACCACGATCAGGGCCTCCTGATTAAAAGTTCTCCTGATCTGAAGGACCTCATTTCCAGATTCTTCTGGTTTTACGGCTGCAAACGCCTTTTTTAGGATTTCGTTGTAAGCCTTTGGGTCTTTCGCTGAAATCTTAATTGCTTCCGTTGTCCTAAGCTTCAAATGATGTTTGGGGAGCTCATTTTTCTTTCCTGCAGGCTTCTTCTTTAGAGGTCCTTTGTTTCCTCTGCTGACTACTTTAAACTCGTCAGATTCTGCCGATGCATTCCTTGAGGTGACTGAAACATAAGTCTCCCCTGAGGCCATCTTTTCACTTCCCTTTGGAAGTATAGGGTTTTGCGCTGGAGCTTCCTTGCACTTAACCCTCTTTTCCACTGGAGTTTCCTTCTGAAGACTTGCCTCCGGACTTTCGATCTCTCTGGGGCGTTTTCTATCAGTTATATCGCTTCCCTTAACAAACTCTAGAGTTCCTTTCTTTGGCGTACCAGGATTCGAGTTTGACGTATCCATACTTAGAGTATGAGGCTCAGGATTTTTAAACGGCTCAGGGATAAAACGCAAGTTGCTGCGAATCACCTCGTGCGCCCTCCCTATAGCCACCATACCATCCTGAACATCTTTACTTATGTTCTTTTGCTTCTTGCAGGCACGCCACATGCTTTCTAGTATTTTTGGAATCATGTCGACTTGCTCAACAACATTTCTTTCGAAGCTGCTGAGCTCCCTATCCAAGCAATTTAGGTTTTGGCCCCCCCCAAAATCCGTGGGGCCTGCGACGGTCTTAGAAAGACCGACGGGAGTATCGTCCCCTTGCGGGGTTCCTTCTTGGGGTAATTCATTAACACCTTGACTCATATTCATTAATTTTTTGGTTTTTTATATCAGGGAACCACCCTGTTGGTTGTCCTTTAGTGAAAAGCCCCGCCACCACGGCAAGGTCTACCGAACATATCCAAGATGCCAGTTGTGTCTGGCAGCGGACCCACCTCTCCCAACTCATCAAAGAAATCAATCATGTCCGGCAGTGGACCCACTTCTCCCAGCCCATCAAAGAAATCAATGATGTTGGGCAGTGGATCCACTTCTCCCAGCACATCAAAGAAATCAATGACATTTGGCAGTGGATCCGCTTCTCCCAGCACGTCGAAGACATCGATGATATTCGGTAGTGGACAACCATCGGCGGGGATTATTATTATTATTATTATTATTATTGTTTATACTCCTTATTAGTGTAAATAAATAATAATAAATAAATAAATAAAACAAAAATAAATAAACAATAATAACTAAATAAATAAAACAAAAATAAAATTTTTATAAATAAATATACACTTATGTATGAATGTGTATGTATACACTACCCAGTAATTACTGGTCATTGTTATTAATTAACAAATGATTATTTAATTGATAGTTATTAAGAACTATTATTCAATTACTTTAAAATTATTATTAATATCATATTATAAAAATGTAATATTGGCACTAAATTCTTTTTTATAAAACAAGTTAGTACTGAATTATTGTCAATCTATGATGTAAATTGTTGAATTAAAATTAATCTAATATTTCAATTTAAGAAATAATTGTTCAAGTAATTATGTTTATTATAAATATAAATTGTTCAAGAAAAAAAACTATTGGGAAATTGATTATTAATTTTATGTTTGAATAATTGTTTCTTTAATTGAACAATAAGAAAAATTTGTTTCAATCTAAATGGCATGTGTGTGTATTATATATATATGTTGATGAATATTAATACACTTACAGAATGATACGTCCGGGGCGCATGATTATTCCCCAAATGTCATTTTTCCGAAATGTCATTTTACCGAACTGCACTTTTGCGAATACTCATTTTTGCGAAAAGCCAATTTTGCGAAATGCCACTTTTGCGAATTGTCATTTTTTCGAAAAGCTATTTTTGCGAATTGTCATTTTTGCGAATCGCCATTTTTACGAATTGTCAATTTTCCGAAAAGTTATTTTTGCGAATCAACATTTTTACGAATTGTAATTTTTTCGAAAAGTCATTTTTGCGAATTGACATTTTTGCGAATTGTCATTTTTTAAAAATGTCATTTTTGCGAATTGTCGCTTTTGCGAATCACCATTTTTACGAATTGCCATTTTTGCGAATTGACATTTTTGCGAATTGTCATTTTTGAGAAATGTCATTTTTGCGAATTGTCACTTTTGCGAATCGCCATTTTTACGAATTGCCATCTTTACGAATAGTCATTTTTGCGAATTGTCATTTTTGCGAATCGCCATTTTTACGAATTGTCAATTTTCCGAAAAGTCATTTTTGCGAATCGACATTTTTACGAAATGTCAAATTTCCGAAAAGTCATTTTTGCGAATTGTCATTTTTGCGAAAAATACAATAGAAAACTTGTAGGTCTATAAATTCACTATTGTATTTTTCGCAAAAATGACAATTCGCAAAAATGACTTTTCGGAAATCTGACAATTCGTAAAAAATTGCGATTCGCAAAAATGACTTTTCGGAAAATTGACAATTCGTAAAAATGTCGATTTGCAAAAATGGCAATTCGCAAAAATAGCTTTTCGCAAAAATGACAATTCGCAAAAATGACAATTCGTAAAAATGACTTTTCGCAAAAATGACAATTCGTAAAAATGGCTATTCGTAAAAGTGACAATTCGCAAAAATGTCATTTCTTTAAAATGACCATTCGAAAAAATGGCAATTCGTAAAAATGACTTTTCGCAAAAATGACATTTCATAAAAAAGTCTTTTCGTAAAAATGACAATTCGCAAAAATGAGTTTTCGAAAAATTGACAAATCGTAAAAATGACGATTCGCAAAAATGACTTTTCAGAAAATTGACAATTCGTAAAAATGGCCATTCGCAAAAATGAAAATTCGCAAAAGTGACATTTCGCAAAATTGGCTTCTCGCAAAAATGACTATTCGCAAAAGTGCAGTTCGGTAAAATGACATTTCGGAAAAATGACATTTGGGGAATAATCATGCGTCCCGATACGTCCACCTATTAGTAAAGAATTTTAACCATTTTTGCCGTATATCTCCATTGTAATCGCGATTAATCAAAAATGTAAAACACCGCGAACTACACACACTTGACCGTACATATTAATGTACGAACACGGTCAAGTGCAGCGAGAGTAAATCATCCCCACCGCGAATGTGATAATGAGTGTAACGCGACAGAATGCATAATAGAGCAATTAAAAAGAGAAGAGAAATACAACCAATAAAATAAGCATGATTCTCTTTTCTCTTCTCAATTCTTAATACCAATTACAGAAATAGTTAATCATCTATAATGATAATTTGATAATAATATGCAATAGTAAACAAATAGAATAGAATAATAGATAAATATTCCTCTGTGTCAAATCCAAGGGCTGCTAGTTTTTGAGGACACAAACGGAAATTCCACGGTGGTTTGTTACGCCCATATTTAATTAAAAATATCGAATATAATTATATTTAAAAATTTATTAAAACTCCCTTCGAACCTAGTTGAAGGAAGTCAAAGATCGTGTTGCACTAAGGATTTTCGGTGTCAGCAAAACGATGCAACTCATGAGACAATAGAACTAAAAATAATTTTGTAATTTCTTTAAATTTTATTCAACTCATGAGGTAAGCCCTTGGAACCTACACGAGAGATAAACCATATCGATAAATATTAATAAATAAAAGATTATTACTTTATAGAATTCGTAATTTTTACGAAACAACAACAATGACTATGCTATGTATATGTATGTGTGTATGTGTATATGCATATATATTATACAGATTTTATTATAAGTAAAATTTTAAACTTATTAACTACCAGAATTAAAATAAATGAAATACATATTGTATGCATGGATATATATTAGGGTGTCCCAAAAAAATAAAAAGTTTTTTTTTATTGGGTCTCATCCCCTAAAAATCTTTCAATTTGTGTAAAAATAAGAACACAATATTTGGAAATAAAAAATTTTAATATTAACCCGTGGTTCAGAGCCTTTGGACCATAAAAACGTTAAAAATTTAGTTTTTTTTTATTTTTAACATAAATATAAATGTCAAAATATAATGATTAGGGTGTCATTGTAAAGATAATTAAATTACCTTTCGATCCATATGTCATAGTATAAGATTCAATGAAAATTAAGAGTGTTACAGTTGATTAAAGATCAAATCTCATGAAAATTTTGATGATTTTTAGACACTTAAGTAACTAGTACTTTTTTTTACATTAAACAGTAAAAAATATTTGGATTTTAATTTGTTTATTCAGAGTCTGTAACATTACAAAAATCCGTAATTTAATCGTCGATTAAATTCGTCTCAAAATCCGTTACCCGATTTTGAGAAGAATTCGATCGACTTTTATAAAGTTGTCCGCCATTTTGAAAT